AATGACTGAAATGGCGATGAAATCTCCCCTTACTTAATGTCATGTGCGCGTACACATGAGCAGAAGCACAGACCGTGTTTGTGTGTGCGCGTGTGTGTACGCATATGAGCGTGTGCACTTAGTTACGTGTACTGGTTTGTACAAGCGATGAAGGGGAGAGAGAAAGAGAGAGAGAGAATTAATTCATGAATGAGTGCCGCTATTTCAAAATTGATGTCCATGAATGAACAGCAAGTTAGAATTGAGGAATTATATATAAGTAGTAATCGTGCACACACGCGCGCACGCGCACACACACACACACACACGCTTTTTTATACAAGTTTCATTAAAATTATTTTCCTTTTCTGAGCGTAAAAGAATAGAAGAAAATTATAAAAACACATGAAAAATGATATATATATATATATATATATATATATATATATATATATATATACAGAGAAAGGTGTGATAGATAGATAGATAGATAGATAGATATCGATAGAGAGGAAATTTTAATATGCCCATACAGGAATCACATTGGCCCCTATAGAGGCCTATGCACACTATTGTGTGTAACGTGCTTATACATTGCCATTCAGAATATAAAGCCTTAGATCTCTATTTAAACTTACATATCAACACAAAAGACACGCTGTTTTGCGTCATGGTATTTATTAATGGCCGTTACTTCATGAATGAACGCTCGACATTCCGTCACAACTATATCCCCATATACACCCGATCAAATCCTTATCGCCAGCAATAAACTCATGTGCATATATGTAAATATACATTTTTGTGAACGATTTTTTAATACTCCTCACATAGCAATTTCTTTATGGCTACATATTTATTTATTTCGTTTCTACTTTCATGTTTTTGGCAGAGATTCACATAATAAAGTTACCGCATATGAAAGTGATTTTACAAGCATATGTAAAAAAGAATACCTTGCGTTGTAATAAGGGGTTATGTATTTTTATGTATGTGACTATAGGAATGAAGGCCTTGATTGAACATTCATATATTTCAGATAGAAGTGTCAACACTAATATTTTCATTAGTAGAATATAGCCCATCATTTACGGGACCGCACTTAAAATGATCAAGCTCGCGTGAATGCGCACGCGCGTTACATGATTTTTGTCTGCGTGTGTATGTGCGCATGCGTGTAGCAACTGAAGGATTTAAGACCCCGAGTAATGAAAGATCTCTGATTTTGCTACACTGTGTCTCAAACATCTGTTCCTACTTACAGCTTTTTTCATCTATAAACTCACAGCAGCTGTAGGTTAAAAAAGAAGAAATTCTATGTATTATTAATGAATGTTTTCATCTGTGTGCGAGTGAATGGTTACGTGCCACACGCCTTTCCCTAACGCGCCAGCTTAATATGATACAAGACCATTTTTGTAGAGTGTCCAGTCAAGATAAAACTAGTGACTGGTCCAAGAAAAATATTACAGGAGTCGCACAAAAATGTATTGTTCTGAGCTCGGTTTGGCACTAGGCTGTAGCAGTGGGGAGCGATGGGGCTATACATGGGAAATAGACTAAAAGTTGACCTTACTATTATTTTGCGCTTCACACTAGATATGTGCATTCATAGATAACAACGCTATGTCGGCAATATAGTGAGAATTTCTCAATGAAAGAAAACCCATGATTAACACGATTTCCATTCACGCAACCGATGTTCAGTCCTGTCCATACACAAATCTGCGTATAGGGATACTGCAATCTGTACGATATCTAATTAAAAAAATACTATTAACTCTTACATAGTCTGATATAAGGCCATTCATTTTGTAGCTACGTGTATATGAGTATCTGTCTACTACTAATTGATTCAGTACGCAGGTTTTTTGCCTCCATTTTGTGAATGAGTATTCAACGCCCTTTTATTAAAGTTGATATAAACATAGTATGTTCTAGCATGAAGCGATAGGTCACCCTTTCGTGCTTAAGTCAGCCCAGTTATGTTGCACATCTATCTATCTATCTATCTATCTATCTATCTATCTATCTATCTATCTATCTATTATTGTTCAATCTCTCTCCCTCCCTTTCTCTCTCTCTCTCTCTCTCTCTCTCTCTATATATATATATATATATATATATATAACGCATACACTAATTGCTAGATAGATAGATAGATAGATAATGAAGAAACTGAGATAGATAGATAGATAGATAGATAGATAGACAGACAAACAGATAAATTGTGAAATCACAAGTAAATATGTGTAAATTTATGTGTACACCTCTAACTGTAGTTCATTGTAAAATGATGAATGACAAAGCATATATATATATATATATATATATATATATATATATATATATATATATATATATATATGAATAGACAGATAGATAAATAGATAGATGGAAATATATATACATCTACTATCGAACACCGTTCATCTACAGATATAGCATGTTTAAATTCTTTGCGTTGCTAGGGTACCTTGTGTCATTGAGAATAAACTTCAGATTCTGAAATATTAGCCGACTCTAGGCTTACAACCTCATTAATACTTCTTTGGGTATATTGCTATAGAACTATTGTATGGCATCATTATTTAATGTGTAAATATTAAATTCAAGATAATACATACATTTATGAATGGCTATAAATTTGTGAATTAACCACTGCTTTCTTATTAAATGCCTAATGTGTGCACTACCATAATCCCATTCATATCGAAACAAAAGACAAAAAAGTCAGTGTGCGCATGTGTAAAACAACAATGGAATTTGCCTAATAAATACATCAAATAATAAAGACTATACACCCGTTCTTTTATTTTCAATCTGTATATAGATATTGTAATCGCCTACGAATGTGATGTTCATCTCTGAAGTCATTCTGTCTGCTTTTACATTCATGTTGTTTTTAGTGTCGTTTTCACTTAGAAACTTTCTCGCCCGCTCGCGTTTCTCTGTGCCCATTGACAATGTCGGCAAGTGTCGTGACTCATTTGCTTGAACGATCAGCTCCTTCTTCTCGCTAAGCTGTCTTCATTCATATATGGCTTGAAAGCAACACTCAGCAAAGGTCTTTGGGTTCTTAATAGATAAGTGACTTTTTTTTTGCAAAAGCTGCGATTCCCACGTAGTTTACTTCTACGCTCAACTATATTAAGCTAATATGAGACGATAAAGCATAAAATTCATATAGTGAATGTGTATATATTAAAATTGTGTTATATTCTCATTAACGTGAGTATATTTTTAAATCATTTTAAAATATGCGTGTATATATATATATATATATATATATATATATATATATATATATATATATATATATATGCTTTTTCATTCATCATTTTGCAATGAACTACAGTTAGAAGTGTACATAAATTTACACATATTTACTTGTGATTTCACAATCTATCTGTCTGTCTATCTATCTATTTATCTCAGTCTCTTCATTATCTATCTATCTATCTATCTATCTATCTATCTATTAGTGTATGCGTTTTATTTATGCGTACATGAAGATTTATATATATATACATTTTGAGGGAACCCTAACACTCACGTATATTCATATATGCACACCCTTGTATATATATATATATATATATATATATATATATATATATATATATATATATATATATCACAACTTTATTTGAATAAAAGACCAGGCTTGAAATACTCAATATATATATATATATATATATATATATATATATATATATATATATATATATATGCATGTTTATGTTGTTATTGATATGTTTACGGGTATATAACGAAATGTATAAAACTTATTAATGAATTTGGGCTTTTGTAGATATCGCGTACATTCATGAATGTTATACATTGAGAAATTCGGAGGCGAGAACCGCATACACTTATTCATACACACCTTTTTTTCTCAATGGATGTACATTCATGACTTTAAAACTATTCTTTCGTACAAACACACATATACATACACCTGGGCACGTTCTTGTGAATGAGTTTAATACATTTGCATCATCATTAACTACTGTAGTATTAGTCGAATTATTATTCACGTCGCGACTGCGAAGGAGGAGAAAGATAAGAGCAAAAATATGAATGTGAAAGTGAAAGTGAAAGTAAAAAGCAAGTGTTTTAAGAAAGAAAGAGCGAGAACGATTGAGAAATGCGTGGAGGTTAATGGCGGGAAGGCGCTAGTCGGCGTACGATGCGTCGGGCTGATTACCGGTTTTAGCTGCTGAAGTGGAAGCTTAGAGGTGTGTGCAACCGACCAATCAAATGCCTTGAAACAAGCAGCGTGCGCAAACACATACCATATATGGTGATGCTTTTACCTAGTTTTATGAACGGGCGACCTGGACTTTGCTTCTCTTCTTCTTCTTCTTTTCTTTTGATACGAGAGGTTAGAATCGGAGCACGCGCGTGCGCAACAGACACATTGTAATGCCGGCTTACGTGAGCACGTGTTCAAGTCTTATGAACTGTAATGTCAGATTTCCACAACCAGCATACCATTCAAGATTTCCATAACTTCCTCATTAGGAATTGTCTGCTCCCACAACTCGAACCTAGCCCCTTCACCCCAACTACTTCGTCCCTATATTTTACACACCTTTTTTTTTTCAGCCTACGCAAGATCTAGTGCCGTTCATCATTTTATATATGTATATATATTTATTTAACCCACTATTTGCTGAAAATTTTTCCATTTATGGTGAATAGTGATGCGATCGTACGAGGCTTAAGATGTTAACCCAATTTACGCAAGCCATTCATAGTTATATTTCGCATTCATAAAATTTATACAAACAACTGTTGCATCTAGAAACAAGGAAAATATATGCAAGTGTAATTTTACATTCATACTATTAGTGCACACATACAGACACACACATATATATACATATATATACACACATATACATACATACATACACACACACACATATATATATATATATATATATATATATATATATAGAGAGAGAGAGAGAGAGAGAGAGTGATAGGTGATGCGTAATTTTACAAACACACACGCACACATAAAGAAATAAATATATCTTTCTATAAATATATATATATATATGTATATGTACACGTGCACACATACCTATATATACATGTATGGTGTTATACATGTGTATATAGTTGTCATTTTACATATACGCACGTGCATACATATATAGATAGAGAGAGAGAGAGAGAGGGGGGAAAGAGAAATTTATTAATCTCATATTAGTCGGGCACAAGGTTAAGATAGGAGAGCACTCTGTAATCATCAGACTTAATAAATTAACAATGGATTGCAATGTTATCCTTCGAATCATTACGATGTGACAGGTGTCAAAACATGTGTGCGTGTATATATATATATATATATATATATATATATATATATATATATATATATATATTATACCCATATATGCCTATAAATATGTATGTCTGTGTATATGTATACATGTAAGAGGTGTAGATACATGTGCATTATTCTTTGTGTAAATATTTCTCTAGATACACACAAGCACACACATATATATATGTAT